TTTGTTCGTCCCACACCCCTAGACAAGCCGGGAACGTAACACCTACGCAGAGCCCAAATGATACTAAAGGACAGTACCCACCCAGCCACAGCCTGTTCACCCTGCTGCCTTCTGGGAAGAAATATAGAAGTTTCTACTGCCTCACCACCAGACTGCAGAGCAAGCTCTCAGACTCTTAAACTCTAATTCATCCTCAGCACTGCTCCATTGATAGTTTATTTCTGTTTACCATTTTTTATAATTGATTCCGTATTAATGTATATTGTCTGCTATGTAGCAGAAGGGGCTTACAAAACACAACTTCACTCTATAACTTGCAGTAGGAAATGTTTGCATTAGCTGTAACTTAATACAAATACTGTGTAAAGTTTAGGTAGCAATGTGAATTCAGACTGAATTCATTTTTTTAGTATAAAAAAATAGGGTTTGATTTTATGAAGATTATAATACATTAATAATATATTATAATAATAATTATTATTATTATACATATAAAGGATTATAACTTGAAACTACAGATAACAACACTGCATTCTGATGCCACATTGCAACAAAAGCAATAACATCTTCCTCCTTTCTTACTGGAGGGTACACATGGTTGCCGCTTGGTCTTAACAGACACACATGCAGTGCTGTATATGGGCATCATGAATAATTTGTCTTCCTGCTTATCCTTCATTTCTTTATCAATTTTTCTGTAGATGCTCCTCACAGCTGTGTTTGGTGCTGCTGTTTTTCACACTGGATTGTAATTGTAATGGGAGTACTGGAATTACAAGAAATCATATATATATATATATATATATATGAGTGTGTGATGCCCTACTACACACTGAGATGGTGAACTGCATGTTTGGTTCTTTGTCCATTCACGCATGCCTGTTATTAATGTGCTCATATTTCTGTCTCATTCACAACTCAGGAGTATAGCCCATCTGCTAAGTGTTGTTCATCAGTCACATTGAGGAAATTAAGGATGGTGGGTTGTTGGAGTGGGATTTGTGTGTGTGTGTGTCTGTGTGTGTAGTTGGTATTTATCACAGCATGGGGACTAAAGCCTATTTCAATGATTATGGATAATTCTGTGGGCAGCACGTTACACATTTTGAGAAATATGATTGATGACACTCATGTTTTTGTATTTAAAACATGAAGCTATAGTAAAGAGACAGTTCTGTTCAAAAACTTAAGTGCAAACCACAAGTTGAGCTGATGGTTTATTTCTCCAACATCCCCAGATATGACAGCAGTATATGGGGCCAGTTTATAAGAAAACATTTTAAATTAAACCACAGCATCAGTTAGACCAAGAGAGTGCATGCCTTAACCAATGCTGCACAATCCTCAATTTTTTGTATTTTAATAAAAGAACATCTTACTAGACAAATCAGCATCTGGATCTGCATGAAAATACACACCAGATGTCACTGAAATCTGTTAAGTACCAAACAAACAGGACTGAAACATAGCTTTCTTGGCAAAAGTAGAAAGAAAAGCTTTAAACTTTTTCAACAGGATACATCTTTATTGTATTTTTTTAAGTTTGACTTTGGAACATTTTGATATATTACATAGAGAGGTCTGAGAGGATACACAAGCATCGGAAATAAAATAAAGATGTTGTTTTCTGTTGTGGAAGCTTAAATTTGTGTTCATTCATGTAAAATATTATTTTTAAAGGGTTATATATACAGTTGCTCCAGAGGCGTACAACCTCTGACATACAGTATAGCAATTGTAAGTCACTTTGGATAAAAGCATCAGCTAAATTACTAAATGTAATGTTAATGTATGAATGGGTCTTCCTCTTTGGTGTTGTCCTGTGCTGTTATGTTGCATTATTGTATATTGTGTGGGTCACGTAAATCACAGCGACTGAGACAGTGGAGAATCTGTGTACTTGAGTATCAATAAAACAACAATAAGTCTAAATTGAACATTACAAAGTAAACAGCGGTAGATCCATGCTAACAAAGCTGGCTGCTCCTGCCTTGCATCACTATAGGCTAGTATAAACAAATAGCTACACATTTGCTTTCTACCATTACACAATTTCTTGCAGGCTAAAATCAACACTTTGACATACTACCGCTGTTACACCAGATAGTAATCTGATCATGTAAGATGATGAAGTAATGTGGAAAGCCACACAACTGTAGTATTTTGCACTGAATAACGTTAGCACTTGCTCAGTGTTAGCCAGTAAGCTAATGTTATCTAACTTGAGCCACCTAAAGCCCAAAATCAGAATATATTTCACATGTTTTGCAGTAATGTTAGTTTACCTGTCCAATAGGATGAAAGCCAACTCTGTGTCAGTTTTGTCTGTTCCAAAACAAGGCAGAGGTCTCTCCGTGACTCAGCCTTTTCTGATGTTGACAGTGTTTTCACCCAAAGTTGATCTGATTCTTGTTTGGCCTGAGTGGATTGTTTTTATGTGTGGTTACAACTCCTTCACACACAGGCAAGAAAAAATAATTTATTTCATCTAAAAAAACTACGTATAGCCCCTTTAACTTGCCTCTTTTGGCTTCATTTTTCTCTTGTTCACTGAGATTATGATCAATTAGTGTATGAAAATCATCATCATTCAGTCATGTCGGTTTTAAGACATCTAGATTAATTTAGTAAAAGTACACTGGATTTTTTCTTTTTTTGTCTTGTTAAAAGCAAGATTTGTGTGTGACTGTGTGTGTGTGTTTGTAAAATACGGATGTTATGCAGAAAAACACTCATGTAGAGAGGCTCGGTACCCTGCTGTTTAGCAGAGTGTGTGAGAAAGGTGACGCACTGCCGTCTGTTTGTGTGTATCAGAGTAGTGTGACCAAGCCCAGTTCTTAGCACTCTCCAGGTTTTTTTACAATACATTATTTTTTCTACATAATATATCCTGAAACAACCGCGGTCACGACACAATACACGTCATATTTCAGGTAAATCAAGGTTAGCAAGGAGTCCACCTCAGTCTTCCTCCATATGACGGTTTGTACCCTATAAATCTTTGAGTGTGACATGAGTGGAAAGTGAGCCGGTCATGATTCTGAGTGCTGGTATATTCCACGCGGTTGCTCTCAGCAGCAGTGTGCGTAAGCGCAGAGAGCACGATCGGGGAAGGCGATGAATGATGCAAAATGGAAAAGAGACCGACATACTCTTTACTCGTTCATTCTGCGAATATCACATTAGCTACTACAAGTGTCTTTACTACAAAAGGAGGTCAAGTGCAAGCCAGCAACTACTACTGTATCTCTTTCTGCTCCCTGCTGCCCTGCACTCCTGTTCTGTCTTCTGGCCCTTCAGCCGACATCACTTACCTCAGTGTAAAAAGAGGTCAGGCAGAAATCAGCCATCTCTGCTTGTTAACTAAACTGTTTGGTCTCTCCGCCTGCTCTGTATACAGGCTAAACTTCCATGTTCTCCATTCTAAACTGTTTGTTTACTCAAGCTTAACCCTTGGTCAGCAAAATGGACATTTCCTGTGCATATGTGTGTTTGTTTGTGTGTGTGGCTGGCAGCAGTTCCCACCCTTTCTCTGGTGGCCTCATGCTATGTGGGAGGAAGTCTCACCATCAATTATAGATTGTGCTGACTGGGTGAAAAAGCCCTTGTCCACACCTGCAAGCGTTCACATACACCACCGTACATTTGTGATGTTTATAGTGAGCCTTGATGAAACAAAGTATAATCGTTATACATGCAAAACATCACCGTGTTAACGTTGTCATTGTGAGTATAACCTCACAGAGCATGGTAGCATGGCTGTTGATTTTTTTTTCTTGTTTAGACAGCAGAGATTAACAAATCATCATGGGAGCTGTAGTTTTTTAAATTATGGTTCAGTTCAACAATTTGCAAGGCATTCGTTGTTAAACTTCCTTAAAACCATGAATGGTTTACATTCTTTGGGCTGTAGTAGATTCTTCCTATAATATGCAGTGCAAAAGATCAAATAGACCCTGATTGAGAGATAACACTGAGTCACAGAAGCTAGCTGAACAGTGTCTTAGCAAAGATGTGACGTCAAGACTTTTGCTCTCAGAGACACAAAAAAGTTAAGAGTAGCTTTGTCCTATTCACAAAACCATGGCTCTTTATTAACCTCCTCATCAGATTAGAGGTAACACATCAGCACCTCTCTGCCTTGCTATTCATCTGTAATCAATAGGGTGGGGAAAGCAGCCAAAAGATGCTTGTGAGGAAGGCCAGACCTTTTGCTCCTTCCCACTCCGCTCCGTCACCTCCATGATGTCACATCCTGTTTGTTGCTCTTTCAGCTGAGAAAAAGGCTCTCAAAGAGAAGAGGGAGCCACTATTCTAGCAAATTCCCCAGACAGACAGACACAGAGGCACTCTACATTTCTCTCTTCCCAGCCTCCCCTTTTTCTCACAGAATCACGGCTTCTTTCCTTAGCGCCGTATCCCTCCCTCTTCATCACTGTTTGCTCCATCTCACCATCTCTCTCCCTCAAACATCACCACTCTCTTGCACCCACTTTGTCCTCCTCCTCGTCACTCCACAGCTCTTTGCGAGCCTCTTTCTTTTCCCCACCTCCCCCTGTCTATCCTGTTCCATCAGACATCAGCTGTTTTTCCCAAGAAGTGTTTTATTTAGAGACGATTAATTAATTAGATATAGTATCACAGTAAAGCCCATTCTTAGCCCAGACCTATCAAGGCCCAGAGGCTCAAAGAGTGTGTACATACAGCAGCGGCCAACTGTGTGTATTTTTAAGATTTGCAGGTGCTTGTTGTGTATCTGAAATTACAAGAAATCATATGAGTATATAAAATGTGTGTGTACATAGTAAATTTGTCTGTGTGTGTGTGTGTGTGTGTATGTGTGTGCCAGACTGTTATATTAGAAAAAATAAATGGCTCTATCTCATCAAGCTGCTAACAGGGCTGTGTTTGCTGGTATCTCACAAAATAAACCTCTGTGTTTCATTAGGGATTCTTTTCTAACAACCTCTTAGCATCTCTCTCTCTCCCTTTCCCTCCAGGGACGAGTTCTCACATCGAGTACAGAGCAGTGAGAAATGAGGAAGAAAGAAAAGAGGTGCTTGTCCAATCAGAGATGCAGATGGCCACAGAAGACATGAGTACCAGCCAATCTGGCACCAGGATGACTTCCACTTGCCAATTTATGCATAAAAAATCAAATGTGACCCCCTAATTAAACAATTGATACAGTTTACCTAGATACATACTGCCAATGAAGTGATACATCCCATCCCTGCACTCATTTCTACTTGATAAATCCCTCATTCCTAACACAAGTTTAACTCAACTCAGACTTCAATTTGCTGTACGATTACATAGACACTACAGAGAGACAGCAACATTTTACCATGCTGTGACCACAACTCAAGCAGAACAGACACAAATCTCACAAAAAAAAGAGCAGCAAGTCACCATATACTGAGATATTACTAAACAAACAAGCCGTCGCTCTCTTTCAAATGGCGCTAGCCTGCATGAATAAATGTTAGATGGCAAGCATCTCTGGTCGGCCTTCTCCAATGGATATTGTGATGACATCCCAAATGGCCCAGAAGACGGGACAGGGACGGCAGAGACATAATGTGACAGGAGGTTCTTCATCATTGGTCCTGTCCACAGCCAGCTCCTTCCTCTGTTGGCTTGCCCTGCTGTCAATAATGCGGTTGCCAATGGTAACAGCTGACTGTTGGCTTATCGAAGGGGAGAAAGGCTTTGTGTGGCTGGCTATCTGCAGTATGAACCAGCCGCCTTATGAGGCCATCCCATCCCATATCAACAGGTAAGGAAACTTACAATGAAAGTGAGTTATGTCGACATCATTTTGCCCCCTTGCCAAACATCTACAGCCTTCACACTTCTCTCAACAGCACTATTGTGGATCTGAGGCTGAATGAGAACAAGATACGATCGGTCCATTATTCTTCACTCAGTCGCTTTGGCAACCTCACCTATCTGAACCTAACCAAGAATGATATCAGCTATGTGGAAGATGGAGCATTCTCAGCACAATTCAACCTGCAGGTGAGCAATGACATAATGTACATTTATACACACGTGCATGTTCATGGATGCACTTGTTAATGCACACACACAATGGAGAAAAGTAACTAAGTACATTCACTAGGTACTGTATTTTGGTGAATTATGAGGTAATTTGGGTTTTTAAGCTCACAGTATGTCGTGTTGTTTCAGTCCTCTTATTTACTCCACTTCATTTACAGTTATAATGTTGGAAAATGTTACAGTATAGTAAATAAAATACGATCCATTCTTGTAGATTAAACTACCCTGCGGCATTTAAAGTAGTTCAAATTAACTCCAGCTTAACCAGCTGTAACATTAAAATGCAGTTTACACATTAATGCATCAGCAGGCTAATAATCCAATTATGTATAAATAATGCTGGGTATCAAACCTCACACACACTTACAGTACTGACCAAAATGTGTCTGTACACTAACAGAGTGTCAAAAAAGTAATTTGGTATCAAATTCCTGATATATTCTTCATATATCTCTTTCTGTATTATTACTAATTTAAGTACATTTTGCTAATAATAGTAAAGTAAAATTTGGAATGAAGGCTTCTAACCATATTTTTACACTGTAGTACTGATATATTTACTTGAGAACAGGTTCTAAATTCTTCCAGCATTACACACACAAATGGCCACACGAAACAGAAAGACGACGCTCACTCATTGAGGCAAAAGTGTTTTCACCAAACTGAGCTGAACGCAGCCATAATGAGCTGGCATGCTTACACATCTATCCCAGCAGCTGGAGCGGTGCCATGACGTAAAATTTGAACAAGATCTTAGTAAATTCAGCACAGCACAGAGGCTTAGATCACCATGTGAAACATGAATTGTACTGAACCGTCATCTGTTTGTTCTGTTTGTTCCCAGCTTGTAGTGAGTGATGCCTGGTGCTGGCCGGCTCTTCAGAGATTAGAATAATCCCACTTGTCTTTGTCTCCCCAGGTTCTCCAGATGGGTTTTAACAAGTTGAGGAACCTGACAGAGGGGATGCTGCGAGGCCTGGGCAAGCTGCAGTATCTCTATCTGCAAGCCAACCTCATCGAGACTGTTACACCCAACACCTTCTGGGAATGCCCCAACATAGAGAATATAGACCTCTCCATGAACAGGTATAAATCTGAGTCCATATATGTGTGTCTTATGAGAGACAGAAAAAATGCTGTTGTATGCTGAAATAATTAGTTGATTATTCAATTAGATGACTTAGAGAAAACACAGCAATATTGATAATCGGTTAATCTTTGAAATCACTTATCAAGAAAAAATATTAAACATTTACTGGTTAAATTTGCTGATTTGCTGATTTTGACTTTTTTTTTTGACAAAAAAATCAATGATCAATCAATTTATAGTCAGTGCAGCTCTAAACTGTAACTGTTTTGTTGTTTAATAGTGACATGATGTGAGAGGAATCCAACACAAAAACTGAAAAGGGCTCCTTGCAAACTGACTTTCTTTGTTGGCTGGTTGGTGTATGATGCTAACTGGGCAAAGAAGAAAATGATTTTATACATTTCTAGCACAGCTTGATAGGCGAATATGGTAAGTTTCTTAAACACGGCCAAAACATCAATGTTAAATGGCTTGGTATCATCACCTCAAGGGTGGCTTTTTAAAAAAGCACTGAAGAAGATGCAGAGATACTAATTTTCTCACTGACTGTATCATTAAATCATGGTGTAATGCTGCAACAAGGCATCTTTTCAATAAAAGTTGAAATTCCTACCTTTTCACTGTGGGAATAACTGTCTTGTTCTTGCTATAGATACTGTAACTAGTATTGATCTTTTGACTTTACTGTAAAAGCAACAGCTGAATGGAACAAGTTTAACTGATCTTTGGGGCTTGTTTAAGACCATAAACTGAAGCATAAGAAGACTGAGTAAGAGAGTTAGAAGTAAGTGAGCTCACCAGACCTGTGTATCCTGCTCCTCATCCCTGCTCGAGTTTAGCAGCTTATGCCGTCATTAGCTGGTAGTAGCATAATCCAAATCTTAAACAAATACAGATTTTTATTTTTCACATCTCATTTTTGCATCATGAGTCCTAGTGTTATAGATGTGCAATAGTAAATTAATGGAGTACTTTTTAAAATGACAGATGATGATGAAATTATGGTACCATGTTCAACTATGTCAGATTATCTGAATGTGAAAGTCCCCTTAAAATATATGATTTACCTTTGTCCCTTTTCAGGATCCAGGTGTTGGATGGCAGTTTGTTCTCTGGACTCTCTAAGCTGACCACCTGTGAACTTTACACCAACCCCTTCAACTGCTCTTGTGAGCTGTTGGGTTTCCTGCGCTGGCTCTCAGCCTTCCCCAACAGGACCAGTGAGAGAATGGTGTGCGACTCCCCTCAAGGATTCTTCGGCTACAACCTCCTGAGCCAGAACCCCCGCATGCCTACCCAACGCAACGCTCTGCACGTGCTCAGTCTTGTATGTACAGACGACGGCAGTAGTGTGACATCTTTCTATGTTATTGGTTCGGCTGATTCAACCACCCTGCCCCCAGATTTTGCCTCTCCCTGTGGATTGGACGATTGTGCTTCTGGGACCCCTCCTGATGAGGTAATCAGCTTAAGCCCCATTTTCTCTGACGCCAATCCGATCATGACGCTGAAACAGGTGCTACATTCAAGCGCTGTAATAACGGTTCAGATTCCTCATCCGTACAGGAAAATGTACATCCTTGTGCTTTATAACAACAGCTTCTTCACAGATATCCAGAATCTGAAAAATCAAAGAGAAGATATTGAGCTGAAGAACTTGAAACCTAACACTGACTACACGTACTGTGTGGCTTCTATACGAAACTCCTTGCGCTTCAACCACACCTGTTTGACCATATCCACCGGCCGCCGGGCCGGGCCTGAGACGATAGCCAATCAGTCGTCAGCCACCCACTACATTATGACTATTTTGGGCTGTTTGTTTGGCATGCTACTCTTTCTTGGCCTAATAGTCCACTGCCTGAGAAAGAAGAGGATCATGGAGGAGAAGGAAAGGAAGATGAGCAGGATCCAAAGGACTCTGATAGAGCTCAAGTATGGTGGAGAAGGGGATATAGAGGGCGGGAGTGGAGGATCTGTTTCCCAGAAGCTTGGCGCTGGTGACAGCCTGTCCAGAATGCCCTACCTTCCTCAGGGTGGTGAGATAGATCCATACAAGCTGCAGGAGGTTATAGAAACACCTGCGCACAAGCCTGCTAAACTTAACTACATGGAGGTGAGAGGATCTGGCATTGAAAGGGACAGGGAGAGGGAGAGGGAGAGGGAGAGGGAGAGGGAGCGAGAGCGAGAAAGAGAGATGTCGCCACAAGCAAATCCCCAGGGCTCAGTAGCAGAGATCTCAACCATTGCTAAAGAAGTTGATAAAGTTAATCAGATCATCAACAACTGTATAGATGCTCTCAAATCTGAGTCTACTTCCTTTCAACAGGGGATGAAATCCCCCTCTTCTGCCGGTGGAGGGGCTGTTTCGACTGCAGAGCCGCAGCTGGTGCTTCTCTCTGAGCAAGGAGAGAGAGGAGAAAGAGGAGGGGAGTTCCTCTCCCCAGTGTATAAGGGAGGAAGAGGAGGAAGAGAAGAGAGAGGGCGAAGCTATCATCATTCGCTGCAGCGACATCACAGCATGGAGGCTCCTCCAACCTCCAAAAGGCCCAGCACCTCCTCTTCTCCTGGCTCTGCCAGGAGCCCACGCTCATTCCGCTCGGAGGGAGGCTATCACACATCAGAGACCCGCTATATCGAGAGAACCTCACCAGGAGAGAGAGGAGAAAGGGCAGGCGGAGGAGTAGAGGCCATCCGTACAGTCACCCCAGCAGCAGCTATCTTACGAGCTGAAGCCCAGAGAATCCGTCAGTACAATGAACACCGCCACTCCTATCCCGGCTCACAGCAGCACCTCCAGGAGCTGCAGCACCACCCCCAGATGCTGCAGGAGCTCCACCACCACCCAGGGGGCCGTAAGCCCTCCATGTTAGACCCCCTCACCCTCAGCAGGCAGGCCAAGCAACGGGAGCTGGCCTACTCCCAGCTATCGCCACACTATCCGCTCTCGCCCCAGTACCACAACCTCAGCTACTGCTCCAGCCCAGATGAAGACGAGGAAGAGGAAGGGCTTCTCTGCACCCCGACCTTGGGGCTGTGGGAGAGGTTCAAACTGCACCGTAAGAGGCACCGGCAGGCGTCCATGGAGGATGAAGGATACGTGGCAGCCGGACATGCGCTGAGGCGAAAAGTTCAGTTTGCCAAGGATGAGGATCTTCATGACATACTGGACTACTGGAAGGGTGTGTCCGCTCAGCAGAAGACCTGATCCCACATCTGGAGACCCCAAACACTTTGAAGATGGAAATTAACAACATTGCACCCATAACATATTGATACAGATACACAGACCGATACAAAAATGACCTGTAAATACACACAAACACACACAACTTACAGGATCTACAGAATCAAACTGCACACATACATCTATATACACATACATCTATAGACACACACGTTGGCTAACACTTAACACAAACCAAGCCTTTGCTTCTGAGAACATGAAGGAGGACCAAACTAATATATTATATTGAACAAAAATCTTATAACTTAAAACTTATAGAGAGACTGAGTTACTTTTTGTAATGTAAGGAAAATTATAGCTCAGACTTATGTAGCTATTTGTACTGTTTTGAATGAAGGGGGAAAAAATCAATATTAAGAACAGAAAACTTAAATGCTGCCGGGCAACCCATCCTGAACAGCCTGGCTACGCTTTTGATCTGCCTTGAGACTGACATTCATCAAACCTGACCACAGCAGATTAACCTCACCAATTCTCATTACAAAGGTGAATTGATATAGAGTTTGCTTTGGGGTGGTTGTTTTTGTATCGCGCCCAGTAAAGAATTACATTTTGAAAGAAAGATTTGCTGTGATTTGGGACATTGAAAACATCAAAATGACAAATGGATGGGTCGCCAGGCAACAGTAATATTTAACTGTGCTGAGAATGAGTAGGTAGCTCTCACCAGAGAGTCAGTATAATGTGCCAAATCAACCAAGGGGATAGTAGAGCCCTACTGTGTACCAACTTCTCCTTGCCACTGTTTTTATATACAGAATTTAAAAAAACCTAGAATGATATGTTATTACTATTAATTATTATTATTATTACATTACTGGTCTTCTTATTATTCCTATGCTCCTCATCATTAATACTCTATTATTTGAATATGGCATGGCTCTGTCGTGTGACTGTGTTTTGACTGTTTTGAAACTCTCAGCTGAGAAGTGCACACCAACAGAGACAAACATGATGGACGAGACATTTGAGTTCTTCTTTTCTACTAGGAGGAATGTGCTCTCTGCGGAGCCAAAAACAAGCCCATCTTTTCTCTTGGTGAACCCCTGCTACACCTGCTCCTCATCCTCCTAAAGAGGGAACGCTGTACAGATGAGAGAGAGAAGTTCTATATTTGCAACAGAGGTGACTGTTTTGTTTGTACAACATGGTTATGAAATCTTTCAGACTTTTCAGAAACCACAATCCCAAGTTAGTTACCTACCTGCTCACTTACAATGGTACGTTTTTGATTTTGAAATGGAACTAAAAATTCTAATCTTCAAATGAATGTCTTCAATTCCCACAGGGGAAACATATCTGCACTGTTCAAAATCAAAAAACGACTTTTAGGAAAAGACCTAAAGCTCTCAGCTTCCTTCCCGATACACTGTAGATCCACTGTGTTTTATCAACAATTGTTTTTCCCCCCACATCTCCCAGGTTTTTACTTTTTATGTTTTGGATTCCTCTGGTTCCACTGTGGTGCCATTGTGCCAACTTGATAAATCACAAAGAAGTGTTTGAAATGCTTTTAAATACTACTATTTACAGACCTCTTCTTCTCCTTCACCTTCTTCAGCATACACCAGTTTGCCAAACAGAACATCAATTTGCACAAAAAGATCCACCACCATTGGCTCACTGCTCCCTTTCTATCCTCCAATCATTTCTAAGACCAAAGTACTGTGGTAGTAAATTGACCTTTATAGCCCCTTACCCGGCCCCAACTACTTACCCACCATCACCCTTACGACCAATTTATACTTCTGTGTCAAGTCTATGCCATAGCCGACGGTGTAGGCAACGTGCCATCGTGAGCACTATACATTTATACTACGCATTGGTGTCTGTGTTGCTCTGCACTTACACCGCCAAAACTGAGTGGATCATGCTGATTGATGTTGAACAGCAGTTACTTCTAGTGGAATTACAGAAACACAGAAATGAGAGAAGGCATCGGTAGAGACGGTATGTACGACCTTTGAACCAGTTGAGGCAGAAGAGGGACAAGCTAGAAATGTGTTGGAGGAAATGCAATGCTACCAAGCCAACCACTCGCAGTTGTTGAGGTCTGCGTCACTGTGAGGTGTAGTTACATTTTTGGTAAGTCTACAGCAAGTTTTACAGTGTAGGGTACATGGCTACGCATAGGCTACAGCGTAGATTTGATGCAGAAGTATAAATTGGCTTTTACAGTTACAACTCTAGCACATGCAAACATACACATTCAAGTGTACTCATGCACACACAACCACAACAACACACAGATGAATGTATTCTTTCAGAATTTAATACTGTTGCAGCTGTATTTTCTGTTTTCTGATGTACAAGCTGTATTCGAACAGTGTCCTCATCTATCTGAAAAAAAAATTTGGCTTTCTGAAAAAAAAAAAAAAAAAAAAATCTGGTAGATTCTCATGGACAACTTTCCTCACACCAGTTTGTATAACCATTTGAACGAAATGTTGTCCACCAGAAGCCCAAAATTACCACTTCAGACGTCCATTGAAGTACTAGCAATGGGATTTTTGCCTTATCAACGGTTTTTAGCTGAAAATGTTTGTGATATGAGAAGTGTCATAGTAAAATGTGATGGTATCACTAGCATGGTGAAAAGAGACTACATGTTTATCTGCAATATCTGCAGGATCTAAATACTAGAGGCTGACTAGAGGAGAAAATGTGATGTGATAACAAAAATACTGCTGTTTATTCTATACAGAACTGTGCTACAACAACTCATTTAAGAAGACCGTAAACCACGGATGGAGTCAAGAACATTTAAATTCAGTGGATTTTGAATTTAACAAGCTTGTAGTATTTACAGTATTGACGAGCAATTTGTAATTACAAATGCTTATACTGAGTGAATCACACTCACTTGGCTTTCTGAATTGAAACAGAATCGACTCCAACCTTGAAACAACACTGAGGACTACACAATAGAAACAACTGAGCTGGCAAACAATGAAAAGTTTATTGATGAATGGAAACACTGTAAAAAATCTTATTTCTCTGCTATAATGAGTTCAGAATGCTCAAGTCATTACGCCCAGTTAAAGCCATAATCGTGGGTTAGTGAAATCACCACAGCTGTTTGTAGCACTGCAAAAGCACATTCATTTGTGTGGTTAAAAAAAGAATTTTCTTTTCTCCTCTGGTACTGCAGCAGCTATAACATGGTTCCTCTGCTGCTGCAGCAAACAATCCGACTCTGATCCAAAAGAAAACTGATGAGCCGTGGTTGTTTCTGCATTACACATCCCAGATTGTGGCTTTAACTAAACAACAGCCTTAAAAAAATAGATTTTCTTTAATCTTTTTAACTTTAACATTGCTTTAAAAATCGAACAATTTCCTGGATTCTTAACTTATACTTTCTTGACTGCAATTTTATAATTGCTTGATAAGCCTCACTTGAGCATTCTTTGAGTAACAGTAATATCAATGTAGCGATGTATTAAACTACTGTTTTTCTTTCTCCGTTCTGTTTATGAACAATAATGGCCTGAATTTATCATGTGTCAGAGAGTTGCAGAGCTTGTCTAGAATCAGACAACAATGAGTTGATGGTCGAGGCGACCAGTCGACAGTGACCCTAATCAGCACTGCTATTCTTTGAACCGTGATGAAGACAAACTGTGTTTTTGAAACAACAATGCCTAGAAAGTAGAAATAAATAGAGGTCCTACTGACAACAGACAGAAACGAGAATGGAGCATGCTGCAAGGAGATCCTCAGAGGATGCTTGTGTTGAATTCTTCTAGTGAATGACTCAGGAGTGAGAAAGTGAGAGAGAGAACGCTGTGCCATAGGATCTCTCAGAGGCTTTCTTTTTTTATTTTCTTGTCAAAAAATTAAAATGAGCACAATAAAATAGCCTTTCTTTCACTGTCTCCTTTCCTGGAGAAACCATACATATGCCTGAAGTTTTAAACACACTCAGGACTTTCACATTTCAACAACATTTGATTGCTTGAGTAAATGCCTAATAGGTCAATTTACCCATATCACAATAAAACACATTTTACTTAATATCAGTGGTACCTAGCCATGAACAATTTGGGTGTTATTTGTTAATCTGTCTTTGAGATTTCTGCTTCCACCTTAATACAATCAAGGGGAACTAAATTTATTGGTAGAGCTCAGTGTTGAAAAATGTATATTTAAAACATTCAACAGAAACATGTTTCCATAGCACTGTCCCAGTTTCTTTGGACAATCCACAGAACAGTGGGTGTGTCTAATATTCTAATAAATAAATGATGTCTCTATTAAATCAAGAATAATAGAGATATCATTTCTGGAATGACAAGCTGCCTAACAATTAGACAATAAGCCTAAAAATGCAGGAGCTGTTTCTTTGTCATTGGCTTAGCTGTGATTTCAGATGGGTTTAAAGGTTTAAACCTGTGTCATCTGGGCTAAAGTCACACGATCAATTAAAGGTGCAGTAAGAGATTCTGGAGTCAATACCATGACAAACATCATGATATAGAGCGAACAACAACACAGCAAGTGTTGTAAAGTTAGCTAGGGTAGCTGGGTTAGCATACTGTTGTTACAGTTGCTGCTGCAAAGCTAACAGAAGCCCAGACCCAGAGCCAGCACAACAGCACCAAACAGTGATATTCACGACTCTCCTGCTACTATAGCTAACATTACAACAACAGCATGTCTTGGCAAACTAGAAAGTAAGCTTAAGCGAATCCGTGGGCAAGTAATTTAATGTTAAACATACAAATCACAGCTGGAATACTGTTGTGAGCTCAGTCCCAGCCACCTTGTTTGTTTCCCATTTACAGAGCCAAGGCTGTGTACACACAACAGATTTTTTTTCAGCACACAGGCAGCTAGCAGATCGAGATATTCACAGAATTTGACACAGAGATGTATTTTGTATTAGAATCGCTTACTCCACCTTTAAATCCCATTGCTGTGTCCTCAGAAGCTGGGTAAACTGCACCTGTGGTTTAGTCTGATTCTGGTTGCTGTGTCCTGTAGAAATCATCTAAACTCCTGAAGAGGTCACTGTATCTGAGGTTTAACTTAAACTTGCTGCAGACGTGGGTTAACTGAGGTATAAGGTTATAAAGTTAAGTATAAGGACATATTTATACAGCTCACATTATTAGTTTCTAAAATTTCAAACATTTTACCATGTATGTTCTTTTGAAGGCAACACTGTAACCAAGTGCCAATTGTGTAATTACAATTAAAGGTGTCATTTCTTCCTTAATTATTTTTTTTATGCCAGAAACAGTTACTGATTATTTGTCAAACATTACCAGTTGTTAATTAATGCACCCCCACAAGTCCAGTGCCTGCAGGTAGGAGTTTGCCAGTAATGTATAAGTCATAAAAATAAATAATCATATATCTATTGTTAATACCACTGCAGTTGGTGGAACAAAATTCATTATCAATGTTGCATCGAGTCAACAGATCACTGTGAAGAGTGAGAATCTCAATAATCATGCATACAACATCACTCGTATTGACCGTACAACAATATTGACACAACAGTGGAAACATTGCAGAACACAACGCAGATCACAATAACAGCAAATAAAATGAAATGCATTTTAGTCTAGAGTGAGAGCATGCTAACATTTGGTAATGAGCACTTAATTAAGTTTTAAAAAATCAAATTAAAGGGATCACCAAAGTCATCACGATTCATCCTCTAGGGACCATGAAGATTGGTGTAAAATTTAATGGCAACCCATCTAATAGCTGTTGAGATATTTCAATCTGGACCAAAGTGGTGGACCAACCAACTGATAGAGCCAACAGTTCAACAGCCATGTGTCTGTCTAGCTAGATCTTAAATTCTGGACAAATTTAACAGATCTGTATGAATAGATACTACAAGAGGCAAGTGAGAAAAGTACTTTAAAGGACTAGTTCAGGATATATTAAGTACTTATCCATAATCAGTGTATTACTAACAGTAGACGGTGGTCAGTGCACCCCTACTTTGGAGAAGCACAGAGGAGTCCCAGCAGGGGAGCAGAGCAATGCACTGCTGTGGAAAAATAATTTTGACTGCTTTACCTGGCCATCAGACAGCCCTTTTCCTTGGCACTAACCATAGAAGTCACATATTCCTGTGCATAACTGTGCCGCGCACAGTGTTACACAGCAGATTGACGTCTACTGTAGGTAGTAATACACTTCAAAATAACCAAACTACCCCTTTAACAGTGTCTTGCTATCTGATATATGGATAACTCTGTGTTTGCGCACAGTTGTACAGAGTTCAGTAAATATTATACATACACTTGTAGCAAATTTCACACAACATGAAGAGGTCACAGTAATTAATAATTCAAATTGGTTAATCCATGACGGACTGATATTTGTGAATAGTTTTTGGCTTGTGGGTAACTATAATCCTGTTAAATAAATTGCATAACCCATGTAAAAAAAAAACTTACACACTTTTAATGTCTCAAGCCAAATAAAACATAAATATGGGCCAAATCTGCTTCGGGAAAGCTTAGATGAACATTGATACTGACAAACCCAAGTTAGTCAAAATCCTCTTCAAGTTTTCAAAAAAGGGAAAATGTAATGTCATGTTGGATTGGCACTGTGGATGAAAGGCCCTATTTGGAGCGTGTCCTTGGTGAGATGAATTAGGATGCTTACTTTGCTGAATTTTAATTCGACAGCAGCAAGTGAATGGACCAAGTGAACCATCTAACGAGTAGTGTCTTGAGGGTGAGTATCTCTACACAGAATGAGTCAAAAGATATTTTTGAAATTTTTTAAGTCTTCAGTACGGCAAGAAAATTCAGCATTTAAAATAAATTTGAAAATCAGAGAATCTTTTTTTGTGTGTGCAAGGAACAAAAGTGTTTGTCAATACAACGCTGGCGATGCAACCCACTTCTCCTGTCACCAGCTGAAACATCGTCATCGGAAATCTAGGCTACCCTTACTTACAAAAAAGGATCTTGACTTGTCCTCCCCCCCAGTTAGCTTTATTGGGCATGAAGCATATAAGTGAATTGCTCTGGGAGACATCAGCAATGCACCACAACACTTTTTTTGCATTTCATGCAAGTTATAATGCTTTCTGAAACTGTGGTTACAAAAGAAGGACAAAAATACTAAATGAATCTCACTAAAACACAACTGCTTATCCAACTGCTCGCTGTTTTATACAACATGGACGGTTCTGTCACACCCAGTGGTGGGTAAGTACATGTACTCCAGTGCTGAACTCCACTGATTTTACACATAAAGATTTGTTTATTGGTCATGAGTAATTATAATTAATAAGTGATTATATAATGTTGTCTGTGGCTCTGGAGGAGCTTTTAGGAGTTTGAAAGTGAAGTGACATCACCTCGGTATCTTGCTTGGGCTTGGGGACTACACAATGTGAACCTGGGCTACAAACTGGGGGTGTGGGCTTTTAAAAATGTGGGAGGCATATATGGTCTAATGACAAGACACAGTTGCATTTTGAGAAAAACAGGATCCAAGGATTTTGGAACTTGATCCATAGAGGGACTTAAACACATCTCTAAATTTTATGTATAGGTTTTTTACTTGAGTTTTAAGCAAAATTAAGTTTGTAATAAAATATTTCTGTTATCAGCTGAAAATCTCCAAAATGCCAAATTTTATGTACATGTTAACATTTTAGACATTATCTAAACTATTTAAAGGTATAGTTTGACATTTTGGGAAATAAGCTTAATTACTTTTTTGACGACAGTAATAGAGAAGGTCAGTACCACTTTCACGTATAAGTTTAGTAAGGAGCCAGGAGGTGATCAGCTTAGCTTAGCATAAAGACTGGAAGCAGGAGGAAACAGCTGGTAGTAGATTTTTGAACTTCGGAAAGAACCAGGCTAGCTGTTTCCAACTGTCTGAAGCAGAGGGAATCAGCTAAGCTAGAGTTATGCTAAGCTAAGCTAATTGCCTGTTGACTCTAGGTCGATACTTAAAGGTGCCCTCAGTTTTTCTGACCTAAACTCATTTTGAATTTTTATTCTTTTGCGTTGTTTACACATTGGCATACAGGTGATCTTTCCAACAAAACATTGTGTGTAAAAAGGCCTCACCAATAACTGCTATATTCAGAGCTTAACAAAATATTTAGGGGGGATATGGCTATGTAATGACACTTCCCCACACTGGAGAGCGTCTCATGGTAGAACTGCTAGCCAGCTACAACACAAAAACCCAGATACCCGCACAGTGACTCTCTCAAGGGGCCATAAATGTGGCTGTCAAAGCTCTAACAGACACCCTGTCTTTCCAGCAAAGAAATGAAGAGTCTGACAGTAGCTTCTCATGGCTGGTTAGCTCTGACTACCAACTCTACATCACTGTCCATGCAAAGCTTAGTGGTTAGTCAGTCCCCCCCGTGTCCCCACACCCTCTACTCAGCCACAAGGCCTCGTCTCCTACAGCCGTTGGTACCACAGGTTTCTCTAATAATTGGTGATATGGTTTCCCTTTAAGGTCTAACAAATGTATTGAGTGCATTTTCATTCTCATAAAACATTTGGAACATTTAAATTTTTTTTATTTGATTTGATTACATCCGTTTTATTTCCTAGCAGTCTTCTTCTTCACTGCCTTTGTTGGTACATTTGTTGGCGTGTTACCAGACTGTAAAAAGAGGAGGCCAGGAACAGTGACTGCAGGGCTGTGTATCATGTTCATGCGAATACAAACACAGTGGGGATCCTCTTGTAAAAACACTGCTTCATAGCTGCTGTAGCTCTACTACAGGTCAGAAACTCCTCAGGGTACCTTTAACACATGAGACATGAGAGTGGTATTGAATTTTTTGTCGGTTAATTAAGAGATGTTCTCAAACAGAGAGAACTCTTCAAGTGATCTATAAGCAAAAAACCCTATGATTCAGTGTAGGGATTTTGTACACACAGTGTCACTCGTCTCTTAGCATAATGCGCATGAAGGCAATGACACAGACCTACAGTACAATAAGCCTGGACCAGGGGCTTTCCAGGTGAAATAACACTTTAGATTCATAACAGTGGTGTAATTCAGGTACAATCCTATTCCATCCTGAACTGACAGACTAAAAATCACAACTTGAGTACAACACCAGCAAGGGTCATTACTCCTTATCTTTAAACTGCTGGGGTACAAGTGGCTTAGGGGCCTGATGGGGTGCGGCCTCTATCAAGACGGTGCGAAGAGAACATGTCCTAACAGGGTCTTTTCATTATCCTTCCATCTCCTATCTCTCCTGTGTGATTTTAACCAAGGGCAGGTGAGTTTGGTATGTCTCCATGGTTACATCATCTGTCTCCCCAACCTCATTTTCCTCCCTTTGTGGCACCTCAAATCTCTCGCTCACTCTCACACTCACACAGACGGACGGGAGCACTCTGTGTAGTTTCAAGCACTCATACTGTGGTGCAAACTTAAACACTAACAGATGCTGGGAGAGTGAGTCACACTCTTTATACTGAGAGATTTCAATTGTTTAATTTAAAACTTTGAGATATAATTCTGTTGTTGAACTTTCAAAATTACACGTGATATTTACAGAAATGCACATAACGCAGTCATGACGCGAGGCAGCTTATTAAAGAGCACTCCCGGCCAGCAGAATGAAAGATTTCAGTCCTGTACCCGGTGGGGCAAGTGAAAAGGGCAGCCAAACAACTCCTGGTACTACTGCTGCTCACTGTGGAATAGAACCTACATTAAGTCTAGTTTTGAAGTGCTGTGGTTGAGAGCTGCCCTTTCTAGATGTCGTCTTATCAAAGCAGTCTGACGCAGAGCAGAAAGGAGCCTCTAGCTTGCCCCGGTGCCAGAGTTTGGAACACAAAGTAGTTGTTAGGCTCATCACAACAGGCGCTACCAAAATATCTGCATTTTTATGTGTGTATGCTGCCTGTCTCCCCCCATCACTGCCTGGCCAAGTACAAAAAGAGGCGTCCCCAGGCACAAGCAATAACCCCCCTGCTTTATTCTCCACATGGCATTTACAATGACACCTCCAGCGGGGATGGAGTGTAGAAGAGATATGAGGAAAGAAAGAGAAGGAAAAAAAAAAAGAAGAAAAGAAGCAGGAAACGGAATTAAGAATAAGGGCTAGGGAAGATAAAAGAGGACAGAAAGGGTTCTTTGCTCATTTTCAGAGTTTTGATTTCTCTCTGAGCCCTGGGGGTTGTCTTTGTGAAATAACCTTCTTTTAAAAATGGGAATTAGACTCGCTGT